CATAACAGGTTGAAGAGTAGAAGATTGTTGTGAAATATCTCCACCAAGGGCCAATAATAGCCCAAATGTTGTTGGTGTATCAGTTATTAGACCATTAAATATTGACAAAATAAGAGTTATACGCTCCCAAGTCGGAGATATAGTGAGCAATGATATAATATAATTTACAAGTTCCCCCTGAATAAATTTGAATAGGCGATATAAATATTTGCTTTATTACTAATAACAAGTCTCCGATTCACGATTCTAAAATAGATAAATACCGTATTCCCGACTGCCAGCGAAGCTTTAAAAAACTCTTGAACAAGTTTAGTTATGTCGTCTGAAGTATCTAGGACTAATTCAAAATCGTCTTTTTTTTCAATGGTTTTATCATTTTTAAATCGCTTGGCCGGAGAATCAAAAATTCTAATTTCATATTATACAAAAGTGAAATATCAACATTCAAAGTGATCTTGAGTTTTTTTGATTCCCTCAATTAGAAGCAAAGAAAAATAATAATTATAATAATAATGACAATAAAGTACCCGGAAAATGCTACTTCTGAAGAATTAGATTGGAATAAATCCTTTATATCACAATATTTCCAAACAAAAGTATATAAATTTCAAAAGTTCAAAATATAGATCGTGTCATAAGAACAAAACAATCTCTGTAAAAAATACCTGCCCGGATTTTTCACGAGATTGTAAAGCATTTAGGAGTGAAGCTTTAAACTCTGCCGCGAGATCTGTGTTTATACTCATTATAGAAAAGAAGTGAAATGCTACAAGTAAAGTAAATGATCTTTTTTTGTGTACTATAAAAATTATGCACCCTATAATTGACCAATAATATTATAGGGGCAAAAAGAGTTACGTACGTACGTAGTAAAAACTTTAATGTGGTTCGAGATTTATTTAAATCACGCATGTAAATACATGAAATATCGAGATCCTTAGCAATACTAAACCAATACTAAAACAATATGGTAAGTAAAGGAGAAAATATATATCATTTCACGTTTGCCTATAATCCTTATTTTTTCTTTAATGAAAATTTTTCTCATGTTGACAATCAGCCTCCAAAAAAAACCACACGTAATAGTACCGCTAAGGGTAGTAGCAAGAGTTCAGAAAAGAAATTTGAAAAAGCAGATTGGAAAGAGAAATTTAGCAAAAAACAAGTTGGAATCTCTGACATGACTATGCTGAGCAAAGTTAATAATGATGCGATTAACGAAAATTTAAAGAAAAGATTCGAAAATCATGAGATTTACGTGCGTAAATTTATATACATACTTTGATAATTGATCTGTTCATATTCTTTCAACAACTAGAACTTATGTTAACCTTATTTTATTTTATTTTATTTTAATTAGACATATATTGGACATGTGCTAATTAGTGTTAACCCATTTAAGGACTTGGGTATTTATACAGATCAAATATTGAAAAGTTATACTGGAAAAAACCTGCTCGAGGTATTTGGAGTTTTTTTAAATCTACGATTTCTATCATTCATCATTTAATATAAAATTATTTGTCAATTAATATATTTTTATTTCATAGATGCCGCCTCATGTGTATGCAATTGCTGAATCGGCATATTACAACATGAATAGTTATAAAGAAAATCAGTGTATAATTATCAGGTATTAATTTTTCTGTTTAACAATCTTAAAATATTTCTTGTAATTCATTATTTTTTTTTCAAATTTCTGTTAATAGTGGCGAATCTGGCGCCGGAAAAACTGGTGCGTAACCAATCAATATTTATAGTATCTATACTGTTTAATTTATTTTCGCAAATAATCATCATTTTCGGCATTTAAATAGAGGCCGCCAAAAGAGTATGAGTATTTTCTAGTGTTTTCATTGTGACTAAATACTTTAAAAAAAAGTATTCGCTTAATCGCATATTCAAATTTTTATTAGATTATGCAGTATATTGCAACTGTAAGTGGTGGTGCCTCATCTCAAATTAAAGAGATTAAAGACATGGTTTTGGCTACAAACCCTTTATTGGAAAGTTTTGGATGTGCTAAAACTCTTCGTAATAATAATTCAAGTCGACATGTTTGTATATAATTTATTTATTTATAAGGGTAGTTTTAATACAAAAAAATTTTATAACTGTAAATTACATTTTCAGGGGAAATATTTGGAAATTCAATTTAATTCTCAAGGAGAACCTGTTGGCGCAGTTATTACCAATTATTTATTAGAAAAGGTAAATTTTATAACTTATTATTTACATTTTATTTTTATGCAATTATTCAATTGTTAAAAATTACATATTTAAATATCATTTATCATAGGGTCGCGTTGTTGGGCAAATTGACAATGAGCGTAATTTTCATATTTTCTATCAATTCACCAAGGCAGCTTCTCCTGAATACCAAGGTATGTTTTGATTAAATAAAAATTAAATATAAGAACATTATTATTTATGTCATATAATGCTTGTTAAATTACAGATCAATTCGGAATACAAGGTCCTGAAAGCTATTTGTATACTTGCAAAAGTGGATGTCTAGATGTTGATGGGATCGATGATACTAAAGACTATTCTGAAACTTTAGTGAGTAATATAATATGCTTAATAACTGATTAAGAAGTGTTGTAATGATCATATATTGCCTATTTTTCACCGTATGACAATTCAGGAAGCGATGAGTATTATTGGTCTGACACAAAGTGAACAAGATGATATTTTTAGAATGTTGGCAATTATTTTATGGTTGGGAAATGTACAATTTGAGGAAAACAAGGATGGAAATGCCGCTATTAGCGATGAAGATGTTACAAATTTTATCGCGTATATCATGGAAATTGATGGTGACGTTCTTATTAAAGTATATGCTTTGAATTTTTATACAATTACGTCAGAATGACATTGATTATTGATTTTAGACCAAATGTTTATTACTTTTACTCTATTTATATTATTCTATTTATATTTAATAGGCATTGACTTGTCGTACCATTGAAGCATCTCGCGGTGGACGTCGGGGTTCGGTATATGATGTTCCTTTGAATACTGTACAGGTTTGTAAATGGTCTATAACTTTTTTTATATCTGTTAATATCGTAATAAAATGTTTTTTTTTTTCAAGGCATCAGCCGTACGTGATGCTCTTGCAAAAGCAATATACAATAATTTATTCGAATGGATTGTGGATCGTATCAATTCTGCTCTAAGATCCCGTACTACAGCATCCCATGTTATAGGAGTATTAGATATTTATGGTTTTGAAATCTTTGAAGAAAATAGTTTTGAACAATTATGCATTAATTATGTCAATGAAAAGCTTCAACAGATTTTTATTGAACTTACTTTAAAGACTGAACAAGAAGAGTATGTTAAAGAAAAAATTAAGTGGACTCCTATTGAATTTTTTGATAATAAAATTGTATGTGATTTAATTGAAGGGAAACGTCCACCTGGTATATTCGCAGCATTGAATGACGCTTGTGCTACAGCGCATGCTGATTCTGAGGCTGCTGATAATTCATTTGTTCAAAGATTGGGTTTTCTGAGTTCAAATCCACATTTCGAGTCTAGAGGTAGCAAGTTCTTGGTAAAACATTATGCTGGGGATGTTTTGTATACAATATCAGGTATGACTGATAAAAACAAAGATCAACTAGTAAAAGATCTATTGGAATTGATCGAGAGTAGTGGAAATAAATTTGTGAGACAATTGTTTCCAAATAAAGTTGATCGTGATAGTAAAAAGAGACCTCCTACTATTGGGGACAAAATTAAGGTTATTTTAGTATATTATAATTTGAAATGTCTATTGATACTGATACCATTTTTACCGTGATATTGATATGTTAACTTTCGTTATAGTCATCAGCCAACGCTTTAGTTACTAATTTAATGCAAGCTCGTCCCTCGTATATTCGAACTATAAAACCAAATCATAATAAAAGTCCATCAGAATATGATCAAAAAATGGTACTACATCAAATAAAATATCTTGGACTTAACGAAAATATTCGAGTAAGAAGAGCAGGATTTGCATATCGGCAAACCTTTGAAAAGTTTTTAGAAAGGTAATATATTTAATTTCATTATTCTTGATTAAGAGTTTGTAGGTATATTATACTCTGATTCTAATAAAGTTAAATAATTACTTGATAATAGATTCTATTTATTATCGAAAAAAACATCATATGCTGGTGAATATACTTGGCGAGGTGACTCGAAAACTGGTGCAGAACGAGTTTTAAAAGATTGCGGAATCGCTACTGAAGAATGGCAAATGGGTGTCACCAAAGTTTTTATTAGACATCCTGAAACGGTGTGATTCTGTAAATTTACCAATCTTTTGATATTAACTATACCAATCAAGTATTATAACCAATTTATTTGTAGATTTGGGCACTTGAACATCTTAGAGACCGATTTTGGCATAACATGGCATTAAGAATTCAACGTGCTTATCGTAACTATGTTCGTTATAAAAATGAATGTGCCACGCGTATACAACGATGCTGGAAGAAGAATAAGGATCAAATCGTATATGTTCAGCTGCGTGATTATGGACATCAAATATTAGATGAAAGGAAGGAAAGACGAAGGTTTAGTCTGTTAAGCATGAGAAAGTTTATGGGAGATTATTTATTTGTCAATATACCTGGAGGCAGTGGTGAGGCATTGAGGAATGCCTGTGACATTGGTGGTATGTTTAATTGAGGTTATTTGTGGTTATTGCAATTATTTATTGAATTTGTTATTTTTTATTTTATTAATTATTTATTGAATTTGTTATTTTTATTTTATTAATTATTTATTGAATTTGTTATTTTTTATTTTATTTTATTTTTTATTTTAGATAATGAAACTGTGGTTTTTAGTAGTAAAATTCAACTTCTTGTTGCTCGATTCGGAAGAGCTAGTAAACCAAGTCCAAGAATGTTAATTATGGTATTTGATCACAAGTTGTTTATATTATTTCAGGAAAATTTCTTAATATTTGATATATTATTATTATTATTAGACCAACAAAGCTCTATATATTGTTATTTCAACACTTGAAAAAAAATTACTGACAATGAATGTTGAAAGAAAAATTCCTCTCGTTATGATTAAAGGTGCCAGTTTATCGCATTTACGAGATGATTGGGTGATATTACATATTGATAACCCAACGAAAGAATTAGGAGATTTAATATTTTCATGCCTTTTCAAGACTGAATTTGTAACGCACTTGTCGGAACTTAAAGGGAATCGATTTGATGTTAATATTTCGGAATCAATTGAATATACTAAAAAAATTAACAAAACAGCTACTATGAAATTTATTAAAGATGAAAATGTTAAAGATGATGTATATAAAAGTCATACAGTCACTGTATGTTCTGGAGAACCATCAAATAGTTTATCAGATCCACCTTGTCCAAGAAAAGAATCATCTTCAACTGCTTCAAGAAAACCGCAAAAAACTAGTAAAGCTACGAAACCTAAAGTAACAAAAACGCCAGCTTCGATTAATGCACAGAAAACAAAAACGGTAACTGCAAATAAACCTTCAGCACCCGTATCCACAAAAAATTCAACAGGTCAATCATCAGGAAAAAAACCAGCACCACCGCCACCACCTCCGGCAGCAAAATCAAAACAAATGTATAAAGCAATTTACGATTTTGCAACAGAAGATTCTGGAGAATTACCATTTAACAAAGGAGATGTACTAGAAATTATAGAAAAAGACGATAATGGATGGTGGTTGGCAAAAATGAATGATGATCAGGGGTGGGTACCGAGTAATTACCTAGAAGAAATCAAAGTCGCGCCAGTACCTACAAGACGGAATAAACCACCACCACCTGCAATACCTACAAAAGCAACAAGTTGAGAAAGTGAATAATTAGGCTAATTATATACTAGAATTCTCGAAGTAAATGTATTTAAATTTTACAGTTAATTTATTAAAAATAATATAGATTTTTTATTGAATTGGGTTTTTAATTTTTATTTGTTGTACACGGTATGGGTGGATGGGATATTTATGCGTCGAAATAATAAAATTACATGTTATAATATTACGAAAAAATTTGCAGTGCTAAAATATTTCGAATTTATTGTTTTCAATGCGAAATATTTCAAAAGAAATAATTTTGAAAAGTTTCAAAAAAAATTTTGAAATAATGTGAAATATTTTGCAATAATCTGAAAGTTTCAATGATATAAACATTTGTAAATTTTGAAATATTTGAAAGAATTTGTGAAAAAATTTTTTTTTGTCACTTTAGCTTATCATTTTTATTAGGTGCATAAAAGATCACTGGTGCTTCCAAGGGTTCCAGACATAGTGATCTAAGTTGATAGCACTTTAGTTGACTTAGTTGACTTAGCCAGCTAAGTCAGTCGATTTTTTCAAAAACCAGCTTAGTTGACTTCTAATAATCCAAAATATATTTGTAAACCAAATGCATTAAAATGCTGATTTTGAAATCGTTATTTACTACAACTCCATTTAATATATATAATTAAAAAAAGATTAATTCATAGTATTCATAATATATTGCTACATTATTTAATAAACTTAAAATAATCAAATAAAAATCTTTATCTGCTTTATATATATAAGATGTCTTAACAATATAAAAAAAAAGCTTTAGCTAGTAAAAATTTATATGTTTAACATTTTGAAAAACAAAGAATAAATACATAGAACATATTTGATTTAAATATCAAAGAACTTTAATAAAAATTAACTAAGACAAACTAACAATAAGATACAATCTTTTGGCAGACATGCAGTGAAAATCATCCAGTTTGATCATTATAATAGGACTGGGTGAAACCCGCGTTGTAAATTAGTAAAATCCGCTACGTAGATCACGTTAGGGTGAAATCCGCACTTAGCTATGTTTTTTATTATGCAAAAGCGAATTTCACCTTCGTGTGATCTACGTAGCGGATTTTACTAATTCACAGCGCGGGTTTCACCCTGTCGTATTATAATTACAGTATCATATATGCCAATTAATTTTATTAGTTAAAATTTTAGTTGATCTATAGGTGATTTTGAGATCCTATAATTAGATTTTGATAATTTTGGGCTTGTTAGAATCAACTTATTAAGAAGATATTTTTATAACAAAACTATTTAAAATGCAGTAGATTAATAGATTAAAAATTATTGTTAATTACACAAATTAACACATATATATTGTCTGCTTTGCAAGCATAACTATATTCTGAATATTTAATTTTTGTATAATTATTATTTAGTTAATTATATCAGCTAAGCTATTTTTTATTTTATTAACTTAATTAGTTAATATACAAGAAATGACTACAAACACTATCCAGACTATATATATTAATGAAATTATTTTAGAATTTAAAATCTTAAAATTAAAGTTTAAAGATAAAATTGTTTTTAATCTATTTTATTTAAAAGATGAAATTTTTTGACATTTTTTTTGAAGAGGCAAAATTATAAAAAATATAAATATCTAAATTAAATCTATTTTTGTATATTATTACAAGTGAATTGTAGCCTTCTTAATACAGCACAAGTAACAAAGCACATAGTTACAGACAGAGTTGACAATGAACTATAATAGGCTTTGAGACAAATGTCAATAGACATTGTCCATTAGGCCAATGAATATAATTCATTGACATCTTCTAAGCCATATTTTGGACTATTGACTAACCTAGGTTACAGAGATCTATTACGATAATGTAGTAGTGTAAAAATAAAATATAACTTCACTAAGAGTAATTCAGAGAAATTATATAGTTAAAAAAGATATATTTTATTTATAGTATATAAAACTTTAATTATAAAAAAGAATCTTATAACTAAAGAGGTTTTTGTATTTACTTAAGTCTATCTATATCTAATTTGAATTATCTAATAAGAAAGAGAAAAATTAAAGTTATATATCTTTTTCCTAACTAATTAAAATAATAAGAAATGATAAAAATAGTAAAAACAGTAAAACAATAGAAACAGTAAAAATAGTAAAAATAGTAGAAATAGTAAAAAGACAGCTATTATTTATACCCCCTAATTTTGTTATTCATACCCCTATAGATCAAATTTATTTTCAACTTTGAGCAAAAATATTTCAACAACCATCAAGTCAAATTTGATGAATTTTTTTATTTGAATTCTACAAAGCTGTAGAATTCAAATAAAAAAAATTCATCGAATTTGGCTTGATAGGTGCTGAGATATCTCACTCAAAGTTGAAGAAAAACTCAAAACATCTATCAAAATAAAAGCTGTACTAATTTTTTTTTAACTTAGAGTGAAGATATCTCAACAACTGTTAAGCCAAATTTGATAAATTTTTTTTTTTATTTGAATTCTACAAAGTTGTAGAATTCAAATAAAAAAAAAATTATTAAATTTGGCTTGATGGTTGTTGAGATATCTTCGCTCAAAGTTTTTAAAAAACCCCAAAATGTCTATCAAAATAAAAGTTGTATCAAAAATTTCTTTAACTTTGAGTAACAATATCTCAACAACCACCAAGCCAAATTTGATGAATTTTTTTTATTTGAATTCTACAAAGCTGTAGAATTCAAATAAAAAAAATTCATCAAATTTTGGCTTAAGGGTAGAGTGTATGTCGATCATTTATCATATGATCTCAGTGGTACAACGGGATTTTATGCATAAATTAAAATA